GCTGCCCGGGCCGGCGGGGCGGGCCCGCACTACAAGTCCCGAGAGGCGGCGGGCGCGGGCCGAGCCGCTCCGCTCCGCTCCCTGCGCGGCCCCGGGGCTGCTCCGCGGCGGCTGAGGCGATGCCGGCGGCGGGCTCGGAGGGGGAGGAGGGTTCGGCCGGGGAGCAGCCCGGCCCCGGCACCTCCAAGCTCTGCGGGTACCTGCAGAAGCTGTCGGGCAAGGGGCCCCTGCGTGGCTTCCGCAGCCGCTGGTTCGTGTTCGACCCCCGCCGCTGCTACCTCTACTACTTCAAGGGGCCGCAGGACCCGCTGCCCCTGGGGCACCTGGACATCGCCTCCGCCTGCTTCAGCTACCACCAGCCCGAGGCCGGCGCGGCCGCCGCGGGGGACGAGCCCGCCGCCTTCGAGGTGCACAGCCCCGGCGGCGCCGTCGCCGTGCTCAAGGTAGGCCCGGGGCGGGCAGGACTCGTCCCCGCTCCTGWGCGGGACCTGTCCCCATCCTCATCTCCGCTGCTGCCCGGGACCCGTCCCTTCGCGGTGCTGTCCGTGCCCTCGGCGCCGGGCACCGCCCGCGGTACCGCCCCGGCTGGCCGGGCTCCTCCGCCGCGTCCGTGCGGGCTTGTGCAAGAAGGAAGGTGCTGTTTCGCAAACGCCCGGGGGATCGGCACTGCCGGGCTGTCCCCGGCCTTAGCTGCGTCTTTATCCTTTACCATTTTGTGTTTGCAGTGCTCCTGTGAGGGGGACGAAATGAGCATGGGCTGAGCGGGTTCTATGCAGTCGTCTGGGCAGAAAAAAGATTTCTGAAGAAATCTGGTGGGTTATGGTTTTGGAAGTAGAGAGGGAGTGGTCGGGTTCCAGTTTTGGGGTGTTTATTTTGAAAAGATCCTGCGTGGCAGGAGTTTGCGTCTAGGCTGCTTCAGGAGGAAGGAAGAGGAGGGAGAATTGTTTCCTGATAGTAGCAGAGGCTGCTTATCGCATTGTCTGTTCAAGGACTCAGACTTTGGTAGGACAAGAGGTAAACGTTAGGATTTTTTTGCATATCTTTCCTCTATTGTTATGCCTAGGAAAGAAAAACAAACGAGGAAGCAATTTTCACTGTATAAAGAAGTATAAAAGAAATTTTCCTTAGTATCCATTACTTTTTATTTCTCTTGAGCATATGTGTCCTTCGAGGAACGTTCTTCTGGATAGAATGTAACTTTTCATGTGAACAGTGTACTTTCTGAGCAACATCCTGAATATTAGAACATAATCCATTAAGTGTTAAACAGGAGAGCTTACGGKTGAATGCTGGAAAATACCTCTTACACAATTAACAGTGAAGATCTGAGCAGTGATAATACCTTCTGGGATTGTGGAGTGTGAGTGTATGAAGCTCTTCAGCATTCTGTTTTGATAGGTGTAAATGTCAAAATAGAGACTCATTAATATGCTTTAGTAGAGAATAAGAAATTTATTTAACTAGAAAACAAATACAGTAATAATTTTAACTATATTTTCTTACATAAAAGCAGTGTAATCAGTGAGTTTGCTTGCAATCACATGTGAAAGCTACCTTTGTAAAGCTGTAAAAGATTTTACTGCTTTCAATGAGTCTGCCTTTATAGGCCGAGTGTTTGTGTTATGGGCATTAAAACTCCAGACTTAGTGTAAGCTTTGATTTTTGATAGTTCAAGGACGTTCTGTTTGTTTTAATTAGCATCTAGTGATTTTTGATTTTTATATGGAAACCTTCAGAAAAATTCTGTTTTGAGGATGCTTCTTGAATAGGAGAGCTTTTCTTGAGAAACACGGGATTTGTGATTAAGACTGCAATGTGAAATACTATCTGCTACTTGTGTAATAAAAAGGTCTTTCAGGCAATATTTTGACAGCAGCCTTGGGKGCCTTCTGCACCCTCTGCCTGTGCATGAAAACACAAATCATACACAGCACTGATGCACAAATGTAAGATGTGGGGAGGTTCCTTTTTTTGATTTTTATTGGTATTTTTTAGTCTTTTAGTTACTGCTCTGCCCATATTTGATGTGTTAATTTTTTTCCCGGTGCACTCTAGGAAAGAACCTGCATAGATTGGAGCTTTCCTCCTGTTTCCCTTATGAGGATTGAAAAATGGTGCCAGTTAAGAAAGTCAAATTAATTTCTGCAATTAGCAGAAAAAGATAATTTTGTGTTGTGTACCTCATATATTGGGRTGCCCTAAAGCAGCCAAGTGATTGTCCATAAAAATGCTCTTGTGTTATAAGTATTTATATGGTAAGTAAGGAGTTAATGAAAACCTTGAGGGATAGTGCCTGACCAACTGTGGCTGTGTCATTCACCAAGGAATAAGGTTTTCACAGCTGAAATTAATTTTCTTCTGTCCAACATCATAGTTCTTTAACGCCTTTAAAACACCCTTCAGCTAACTTAGGTATAGGTAGAATTACAAATTAATTCAAGATGGTAACTGAAAAAAACCAAACAATCCAAACTGTCTCCCTGCCCCCATAATCCAGCCCTTGTTGAAAAAAAAAAAAAAATTTAATATATCAAGAAAACATTACACACAGAGCACGAGGAATAAAGTCAAGTCAAATGTATTCTTCAGCCTGTAACTCACATGCTTTCTTTCCCTCAATTTGCTGCTTGCTCAAAATTTCCACATCTCGTGATTTGGCCTTTCCCATTCAGTATTATAGACTGAGAAGGGCAATAAAATAAGCTACTGGAATTCCAGATTGTGATGATGCTGCTATTGAGGAATGCRTTATTTCTTATAATGCCTCAGTTTCTTGTTAATGTAAGGATTCCATCATCTGGATTGCTCAGTCTTTTGTCAGGTAATGGGAGCTGAGAACTCCATGATGTACTCAAACTTTGTTTCTCATATAGCAATTTGAGAAAAAATATACTGCAGCCTTTACAGCMAATAAAGCAAATTTCAGAGCTGTAGATAACCAGCTTGCCACTTGTGTGATTGTGGGTTTTCTGTACATTTCTAGCTGGTAGAACACAGCAGAAGAGGCTAAGTGTGTGTAAAAATCTCTTCAATTTAAATATATATAATATATTAGATGCCATCCCTTTAGGTAAAGGAGCACAGAAAATTGTGTACTTTATGAATTATGGATCAATTATGTTTGAGAATATTTTCATGGAAAGGCATGCAAATASTGATCCTGTAAATACTTGCTGTAACACAGAATGCTGGTAGTATAATCAAGTGAACATTTGGCTATGTTTGCACAGCAACATCTCTCATTAAAGGGGGAAATAATTAACATTATGAATATATAGAAATGAACAAAGGCATCTTTTCTCATTTATTTTTAAAGCAGTATCTTGTAGTGACACATTTTGCATGCTTCAGAATCAGAGGAGCTCTGGGCACTGATGCTGGACTGTGTGCCTGGTCCCTTCTGTGTGGGTATCTTCCCTGTGAACAGTGGTGAATTGGGAGAGGAACAGAAATTGCACAGACTTGTGAAAGAAAAAAAACAACTTTGGGCTATTGGCCAAGTGTAAGCATTGCAGACACTGCAGATTTTGGAGCCCAGAAGCTTGAAAGCATTGGACACCAAACTTGCTGAAGTGAGTGGCTGAGGAGCAGTCACTGTAATTTGTCATTGCTCTCGAAGGATGCACTGGTGATCAGCGTTGGGGGCTTGAGCTTGAGCAGTTTCACTGCAGGTCCTGACACCTCTGTAATCCAACTCAGTATAGGAGGAAGCTCAGCAGAGAGGGTGGTTTGTTGTCTGAGCTGATGCTTTTGCTTTAAACTTTGCTGGTTAGTGGTTGCAATGCTTTAATTAAGTTGGGCTGCCCTCCAGACAGCCATCTGGCTCCAGATTTGCTGTTTGAGCATAGCAGGAATTGTAAATCTTAAGAAATGCAAACTTTCTGGTGGTGTTCCCTTTTACAGAGTAGCTTGAGGGAGAGTTTGTCTGTGTTCAGAAACGTAGCAAGAGTTTTCATGAGATTTTTCAAAATGTGAGGCCTGCTTGTTTCATTTCTTTGGACTCTTCTTTAGTGTTTCAAGTTGGCAAACTTACAGCGCCAGTGGGTCCAGGTAGAGGATGCCAGTGCCTGGGTGTTTTCCTCAAATAATTCTTCTGTTTGTGTTTATTACGTGTGCATCAGAAGGTGACAGTTTTACATCATTCTTAGTGGCAGACTGTAGGGGACTTTCAAAAATTAAATGACAGTAATTTTCCATTGTTTAAGTTGAAAACTACATAGTACTGTATGACTCTTCACTTAAGAGTGTCTTTGACTCCTACAGTTGCCTGAAAGTTTGCCCCAGGATACTTACAGTAGTTCCTTATTTCACACCACTTTGGGTGACATTCGTGGTAGTTTTTCTTCTCAGAGAAATGCATCCATTAAAATGTTAAAATGCARTGAGGAAGCCCCTTAGCAATAAGTACCAGTAAGGATTTGTTGCTTGTTGTGACATTGATTGGTGCTGTRCTGAAGTAAGTGTTCCGACTCTGATTTGCAGACAATAGCAAAATACTCAGAAAAGTCTTTAGAAGTGGAGCAAGCATTCCTTTCTTTCAGAGATAAAGTGGATTTAAAAATATGCTTCCAAATTAATGCTCTTTATGATTAGGGGAAGAGGAAGATTTAAGTATTCTTTGTGTGCCTCTTGGTTTTGGTTTTTTTTTAACAGTTCATTTGAATAACAGCTCCAAAGATTAATTTTGTTTATACAAAACTAATTTTAATAGAGATTTTCAGAAAGCTCTTTTATTTGTAAATAACTTAGATGCATTTAATAAAAAACTGCTCAAAAGGAGTGGAAAACTCTGTAAGAGAAGGATCTTATACGGGAGGGAAGGAAGGCAGGATTACAGACAMGGAGCAACAGGAGGGTACTGAGTAATTATTGGGAAAATTACTTAAAGCAGGGGGGATGAGGAACTTGTACTGCTTTGCCTTTCCACTTTCTGTTGAAGGATTGGAGCTGCTGCCTGGCCCTGCGTGGAACAACAACATCGCCTGTGCAGCTCAGTGGAGAAAAAAGGGCAGGTGGGAATTGAAAAGCAACAAGGGGCAATTCCAATAAAATCGAATCACGGCTCTCTGAAGGTGACTGTGGAGAGAATAATGGGACTAATTGTGAGAGAGGTTCATTAAGTTCAAGAAGTCACGGGCAGAAGTTAATTGTAGGTATAACTTAGATTGATTGCCAGTGGATTGCCTCATTAGCTGTGTTGTGGTAACAAAGTGAACCACTTGAGCACTGCATCCTGTGTTAGTGGAAGCTCTTTGAATTCTCGGTGGTTTTCTGCTGGAGCTTGGTAAAACATTGCTTTACACGGCCTGTGTGCAGGTGTATCCTGAGGAAGTGTAAGCTCTCAAATTTACCCGAAGTGAAGACTTGTCACTGCCTAAACCTCCAAAGGAAATACTTTTGTGTGAGGTATAGAGGGGAGATGTTTACTCCTGGCAAGAAGTGACTGTAGTCTGTAGACTTGAAGTCCTGCTGCTGTGGTGATCATTCCCAAACTGCCAGAGGTAGCTGCGGGGATTGGCATTTCCCAGTGTCCAGTTCTTTGGCACTTCCAAACCATTCTTTACCCTATGTATTTTTAATGAGGGAAACGGTTTTCTCTGGCTTCCTGTGAACAAGCAAGCAAGARTATGTGAGGCTGATTTCAGTTTCAGATTAGAAGCATCTTGGTTACATATCTTTCTTACCAACTGAGAAAAKTGGATCTGCAGTGTCCTCATGTATCACTGGTTTGTTTCACTATTTATGAATGTCGATTGGATTTATGTATTTTGTATCCTACCTCGTGCATGATGTACTCAGAGGAGCTGAAGCAGCAGCTTCCGGAATAACTGAGGTTTTCTGCTTTAACTTGCACGGTGCTTTGGAGCCATTGGCTGTAGCATGTCATTGATGTTAAAGCTCGTAGAGGTACAAAAAGCCAAATGATAAAATAAAAATCTGTCTCTCCCATTGCTAAACTAAGATTGCAAATTGCAGAGCTAGAGAGAGCACCCTGAGGAAGCATCAGTTCTTTTYTTGCTGTGCTGTTTGTGCTTTGTCTTGTCATTAGCTGCTGTTGGGGCCAAAATATAATGGCCAATGAATCTTCAATTTGATTAGACCAAGATGTTCTTGTGAAAAATGAGGTCAGTTCTCTGCCATTACTCTGCTTTCTGCAGCACTCACTGTATTTCTTTTGTAAGGAAATATGTGGTTTTTCATTCTTTTGCAGCTGTGCCTTGCACAGGTATCTTCATAAGTTGAGATAAACAGAACAGGAAACTATTTAGAATTATCTTTAAAGAGTAAACAGTCATTTTTTTCATAGCTAATGCCACCAAGCACTTGGGAGAAGGTCGGAGGAAGGCTAGCTAAAAGATAAGCACTMCATGTGCTTAGAAGCCAAAGGAGGTGTGGGAGTATCTTCTGACCRGTGTTAACTTTTTGTTCCTCAGCAGTTCGTGTTAGCAGGTCAGGTGCTTGTCCTGGACTGGCAGCTGAGGATGTGTGGTGGAATAACAGTAACTTCTCCGTGAGAGCATGTGCAGTGTCAGATACCATCACTTTTCTCTTCCTGGGTTTATGTATTGTCATTTGACATGYTGTGATTCAAGATGGGTTTGAATTCTTCCTCACTTACTGGCCATTCACATTTTTGACTGTAGTCTTGTAGATTTACATTTATTTTGGATTTTTTTTTTGTTTTAAATACAATTTTTCTACAGAAGCTGGTTAGCTCATGGGATCATCAGAAAATACAGTATGTAGATTTAGTCATTAAAGTAAGAGGCATTGCAATATATTATTCATTTGTTGCTTTTTGCTGGTAAGAAAGCAAGTTAAAAGAAAATAGGAATCTTCCTGAGTGTGTATGGGATTTTTTTCAATAGTGTAGATTTACAGTTATGTGTTCAAACAGTGCTTTGTGTGTAAAATAAAAGATGCTGCTGCAATTTCTAATGTTTGAGTGTAAAACTGAAGAAAAAGAATGCATGGGACTACTCCTAATAGAAGATTTTGGGCATGAGGATCAGAGTATGCATTTGAGTACAAGATGCACCTGGTGCATTGGTGGTTATTTCTTTTAAGACATACTGATTTTGAGTGATGATACCTTRGTGATCTGCTAATCTGGGTCAAGTTTATTATTGCACTTGGAATTAGTGTGTTCATGTACCAAGGAGGAGCAGAGATCTCAATCAGCTCTCTGGTTCTGTGTCCTCCAGGCTGCAACTCGTCAGGACATGACCTATTGGCTGCAGGAGCTGCAGCAGAAGAGGTGGGAATACTGCAACAACCTCGACGCAGCAAAAAGGGACAGCCGCACATCCCCTACACCAAGTGACTTTTCCAAAGGTCTTGTTGCCAAAGACAACCCTGGTACGTTGGGAACTCGTTGTCAGTTTATCCGTGCAAGGCTGGGGTAGAGAACAGAGAGCTTTTCGTCCATCTGTATATCAAGTAACTCTATGTAAACTTTGCATATGCTACAATTACCTAACATTAATGTAATTTTATGTGGGAGRATTTCATATCTCTTACAAAATATGTTGATTCCTTGAAAAACAGATTTTTAGAAATGAAGTAAAATAGAGTAGTCTTATGAGTAGGTTTCATTAAGTACAGCTTAGATTAGGTGAATTGTCCTTTAGTGGCTGCAGTATCTTAGAAAGTTAGTGTGCTAAGTGTCCTGAGATGTAAACCACAGTTTTTAATGGGAATAAGWAAATTTTGCATTCTGAAGTACCATAATTTGTTCCTGAGAAAATATGGTGTGATAGATCTGTGATAAAATGTCTTGCCTTTCAAAACTGAAAGACAGTTTGCACTGATATTACGTAAGTGAAATTCAAACTCTGAAATACCTTTAGGTAAGGGAAATGTAATTCTAGACTAATGTCAGATTTATGAAAATGTCTATGCATTATACAAAGTTATCCTATAATTTTTAATACATTGTGCAGSCTCTTCTGATTTTGTTTTATTCCTGACTCCTTATGGAAATTGATTCCTTGCTGATTTCTGTTATCCATAAATAAGACCGAGTAAAATCCTGTTCTATGCCAAGTTAGGCATTAGTAAGGCTATCTTGGATGTCAGCAGTCTTGAGGTCAGACATGTTTCATCCCCAGACGTCACATTTGGTTGATGTCGCTTTGCTCCTGCTGCAGACCCAGCCGCACTGAGCTCTTGTCACACCTTCTGCCCTCCCTGGTTCAGATCCTGCTGCAGTGTCACCCTTTGACTCGATCTGCTGCTCTCCTTTGGAGAATGTGCAGCTTATGGCTGCTTGCTCAGCACAGCCGGCCTCCCGTGTGTTTGCTGGGGCTCAGCCTGGCCTTTCAGCCACTGCAGGCAGTCCCTGCTGGAAGCAGAGCCCAGCTCCTCCCTTGAGCTGCTGCAGGGCTGACCCTGCCAAGTGCTGTGATCAGCCTTTCCTCCAGCTTAGGTTTTAGTCAGTGCACTTTCCAGAAGTGGTTTGCTGTAGGGACAGATGAGTGTCAGGATAGGCCCAAGAGAATTATTGGCAATGCCAAGTGGGATGGTTTGGGACTGCCTTTCTGGCAGCAGCCAGTCTGCCTAGCAGCTTGTCAAACTACGCTCCAGAGCACGTGTACTGGTGGGCAAAAATCTGAGTGTTGGAAAAGGGAGCAGCCTTTGCCTCCTCAGCCCTTTGTCTTTCTGCCTTCGGCCTCTTGTTCTCTGCTGCACGGGCTCCCCTTTCTTGCTGTGTTTAACTGACCCTGTGCTGAGTAGGTTGAGTTCCAATCTTATCCAAAAGGGAGGCCTTTTTTCCATTTCTGYTGGATTAACGAGTGGGATATGTTTACTGTGTAGTCAGGTGACTTGCACAGCTGCTGGACAGGAGGCAGTGAGGCACCGTGGCTAAATACAGGAAGGCAGAGTAAGGGAGCAGACAGTCCTGCGCTCCTGGCAGCAGAGTGTGGGATCACACTGGCTCTAAAATGTAACTTGGCCACAAAATCTGTTCATTCTTGTTTGTGCTGCTTCTCTCAGAGCTCAGGTACACTGTGAAATGAGCCTGCTGTCACTGCAGCATGTGCAGCTACTGTTCCCTCACGCCTGTTCTGCATCACATCCAGTCATTTAATCACTGATCTGGTATTTTCCTTTCCTGCAAGTCATTGGGGGCTTTCTGGATGAACAAGCTGAACCTCCTTGTGTGATTTAAAAAAAGAAATTACTATCATTATTATGCCCAGGACAAGGAATGTAAACATAGAGTGCATGGGCTGAGTAGGCCAATTCCTTTCAGGGGCAGCCTGCAGTTGAACTGCATTATGTAGAATTTGGAGCTGCATCTAGAGTATCTCATTTTCTAGGACAAATCACAGTGGTGACTCTTTTCATCCACTAAGGTATTTAAGCAGGGATTTCTTTGGGGAAAAATGCAAAGAGCCAGAATCATTGATGGTTGTTTCTTCTTTTTGATCAAGTGCTCCAAGAGTTTTCTCTAGAGTTACGGGATTCTGCAAGGCTCTGGTTTCATGTTGATGACTAAGATATGTGTCTTTTGGCGCTTTTTTCTTTTTTTTTTTTTTTTTTTTTTTTTTTTTGAAGAAGTGATTGTGCATGCAGGGATGTGCTTTATACTGGTGCATAGAAATGGGTTTACTTTGTTAGTCCTTGAGTACAGATGCTGTCACTGATGTTTTAAGTGGGGAAGTAATCTGTCTTCAGTCCTAACCCAGAACTGCTTGCTGTAGCCTTGCCTGTTTTGTCCTCCCCCAATCCTTTCCTCTCCCAATTCAGAAATCTGGWCTAACTGGAACATACACAAAGCTAGATACTGCTTTGTGGATAAACCTTGAAAGGTTTTAAGAACATTCAATGTAGTAAAAATGGGGGGTTTGGTTTTATTTTTTTGTTGTTGGTTTGAGATTTCTGATTATTTAACTTTGTAGTTAAAACATACTTACTATCTTTCCTCTTCATTAGACAGCAACTATGATCCCAAGTTTACTTTYATGTAAGCTATTTTAGCTCAACTGTGTTCAGTTCAAACAGCCATGGTCCAACAGAACTTGAAATTCCCTTTGGCTGATAAGGCCCTGAAGCATCTATTCATAAGAGTCAAGGCAGTGTAACTTGTACCTCTATTTGAAACATGACAYGATACATTTCTGTGTCAGATACCATTTTCCAAGGGTTTGAGAGATTTGTAGCATCAGTGATCTTTTATAYTTCATATTTTTCATCACAGAATGTTCTTTCTGCTTCTGACCTTTGATTCTTGATAAAAGTAACCCTCTGCTGAGTAATTAGGAGGGGGGTAAAGCTTGCTTAAAGATGGTCTTGCTGCCGGGTGCCAAGTGATTGTCGGAGCAAAGGCTGAAAGACTTACCAGTGACAAAAGGGGGCATCATAATTTCCTAGGGTTTTATTTAAGTCAGAGCCCATCCCATGTGTTACTTTCTAATATAAATGCTGAATCAAGTCTGAGAGTGTTGTCAAAAAATGTTTAATCCACTTCAGTAATTTGTGAATCATAGAGAGAAGAATCTGAGAATTGCATTTGGGCTTGTTTAACTTGCCTTTCAGAGGATTTGTGGAAGGCTGTGAACCACTTTGTGCTTCTCTATAATGTTTTTGCTCTTTGTTGTATGTTCTATATGCCAGATTTTTTTGTGCCTCTGCTTGCTGGAGGTACAAAGCACCAGTCAAGGTTAGTGGAGACCCTGAGGTAGCACAGACACTGCAGGTTCTGTGTTTGACTGTGTGGTGTGTTGGAGGCCTGGCTGGCTCGGTGGCATCAGCTTGGATCCTCTGGACTCTGTCAGCTGTGGCTCAGGGCTGGTGCCTGTGGAGTTGTTCTGAGCCTGTGGGGTTTTGCTGGTGTGTGCAGGGCTGTGCTGCAGCTCTGCACGGTCTGGGCATGGGCCCCACACTCAATCAAGTGCACAGGAGAGTTGGGGAATTGGTGTGGGGGTAGCTTCACTTGCTGCCCTGCTTGGCTCAGGGGAGGATGGTAGTCCTGCTGCTGCATAACTGAGCATCTCCGGTCATCGGTTCCTGTTTGCTGCACTGGGATCTTCTGCCCCTGTGCCTTGCTGGGGACCCTTGAGATTCCAGCTATAGTGGTCGAGTTCTGCTGCACCCCGTCTACAGCTGCGGGATTCTGCTTGTGTTTTTGCCCATCTGGCCGTTCTGGGGTTTCTTGCTGTCCAGAGGAGCACCCAGATCGGTGCTTTTCCCCCCTGTGAGTTTGCAGAGGAACTTTTCTCCATCCACCTCTGCCGGTTTGTGCCCGTCCTTGGCCATTGGGAGATCTGAGCCAGCCGGGACCCGCTCCACAGCGCCCCCTGCAGCCGGGGGGAATCATCGCACCCGCCCTGCCCAGCCGGGAGCCAACAGCGCCCCTGCCGGCTGGGATTGGAACTGCACCAAAGGGGAGGCTGTGTCTCTGTRAGGCTGKCACTGGKYTTGGGACTGGGCTGGTTGTTTTTATCGTTGTTGTTACTTGTTTCACCTTGTTATACATATTAGTAAAAACTGTTAYTCCCTTTTACCCATATTCTTGCCTGAAAGCCYGTGATTTTCAAAGCTRTAAYAATTCGGAGGGAAGKGGGRTCCCTGCCTTCATTGGCAAACWCCTGTCTTTSAAACCAAGACAGGGATGGATTGAGGAGTAGCTGCATTCAGCTTCAGCAGAGCTGTGAGACCCTCTCTGATGCAGTGGGTGTGTGATGTGTCTGCAGAGCCTGTGCCAGTGTTCTTGGCTCTGCCAACGCCCAGCGTGGATTGGCACAGAGCTGCCTCAGGTCTGTAAAGCTCACTGACTTGCAGCAGCACTGTCACTTTCTGGATGAATAACTTACAGCATGAAAGCTCTGTCAGTGTTTTTGTGACACTGCTCTGGACTTCTGATAAACCTGAGCTTGTTTTACAGAGGGGTTTTGTAGGTTAATTTAATGAATCCACTTTAGTTTTTACGCTTTATAGCTGCTTAAGCTAGATGAATCAATATTGGCTAATTCTAATAATGCAATAAAGCTTGGAGAGTATCACACAAGTCCTGTCTGTTATCTGCTGCAACGAGATCTCACTGAGAAGTTTGCTATTTGTAAGGTTCATTTGAACAGAATATTTTATCAAGTTATGTTGCAATTTAAAATAAAACCTGAACTACATCACTAGCATACTTAGCATTGTGATTTTACATAGCCACTATTCTTTTACTTATTGAAGGTTTTGCTTACTTTTCTTTTTTTCTCTCTCTTTTTTCCTTTTAATATAGATGTGAGTGCCCTAAGTCAAAATGCTTCAGCAGAGAGAGCTAGAAATATTCTAGCTGTGGAGACTTCTCCTACAGACCTGGTGGGAGAACAAGCAGCTTCCCAGCCCGCCCCAGTCCAAGCAAGTGCCATCAATTTCTCACTTAAACAATGGAGTACTGAGATCAAGTAAGTTGGGAACCTGGGAGAAAGCGTTACCAGGAGATTGGAAGTTGCTGGCCAAGACAATTTCCTACATTGGTGTACAGTGGTTGGAGCCTTTTAGAAGGGTGGGAGGTGATGGGGTGGGTCAGTACATTGTATCTCTTCAAGTAAACTCTTCTGTTTGCTGTTTGAAGGGTCTAAGGGAACATCATTRTGTAGCATCACTGATGTGCAAAAAGAGATCAGAGTCTGGTACAGCACTTGTAGTAATGGCTTTGCTCTCTGAACCCCAGCAGGGAGTTGTATTCTCAGCCACTGCTGCTTTTTCATGAAGCTGCCAATTGCCAGCATTGTAGTAGTCATAATATTCAGTGCACAGGAACTATTTTYAGTCATGAAAATCAAACAATATAAATTCTTATCTTTTGTTTTCTTCTTAAAAGAAATGAAAGCACATGGCAGATTTGAATTCGATGTWGTTTGAATTCCTGAGCAAAAATATGGCAGACCCCTTCTAAACAATGTCAAAACYTTCCACTTGCAATGAATTTATTCTTTAGTATAAATTGCTTTAAGGAAAGCAGTGCCATTGGTTTTCAGCCCCCCTGGTGGGTTTCTTTCTAAATGATTTTGTGCTTTGCTTTGCCCACATAGATGGATTTTCCACTTCTATTTTAAACACATTACAGTGCTACTACAGAGCAGTTCACAAAGCAGAGCTGTCGCTTTGGTTAACCAGACCACTTCCTTCTTGAGCTGGGGGGAAAATTTTCATTTTCATCAGCAGTGCTGAGTTAAACAGATCCCTTTTAAAGCTTTTTTATTTAGCACAGAAATCTGAGAGCTTATCAAGTGGTGTTAGTTTTACTTTTTCTGGCTGTGTTCCTTTTTTACTCTCCTAGTTTTATGGCTGATTGTTTTCCTCCCTTCTCCTGCAGTTCTGTGCCATTTGGGGCAGGGAGGTGATCTGGCAGCCTTTGCAATATGTGTGCCCTGTCCAATGTCTTACCTGGTGGTAACTGTGCCCCCATGTTAGAGGATGGATCAAAGGGTTTCTGAAACTGCAGTTTCCTCTCTTGCTGCGAGTGCATTTTGGATTTATTTTTATTAATTTGTATTAAGCTATGTAAATGTCTCAGTCAAAGCCTYGTCCTTCCTCCTGAGCACATTTATGGTGTGTCTGACAGAGAAACCATTGCTGTAACAGCTGTATTTGCATCCTAGGTAGCACTTGTGACCTAATAATGAGCAAAAAAAAAAAAGAAACATGCTGTTAAGCAATTTGTAGGTACAGTAATTAAAGTTGAAATATGCTTTTCTACTTCTAAAACACATTTTCAAATACTACTTGATATATACAGACATTTAATCTTGAATGTTCTCATTTCCATGCTTTCAGCTATTTTTGAGAATATAGGCTTGGAAACGTACTGAATTATAACAGCATCCCGTTATATAACCATAAAATAAGACTTAAACCCCAAATATTTAAAAATAGAGAAACATTAGAATCATGTGATTGGCTCTTGCATAGCTTGTCCAGTTGTACTTAGGAAAATAAATACTGTTTTCAAATTTATCTATCTAATCTTTTCCTCTTATTTTAATTGAATAGAAAGCAATGGAGTGCTGTGTGAGTGCCCTGAGCAAACCTTTGCAAAAGCTTTACAAAATTCAGCATCAGCTATGATTTTTCATGGGCCTAACAGCAATTTTTTAAAGAAGCTTTGCTRGAAGTCACTTGACTTCTTGTTCTTTGTTTTTTTTCAAGCTTTAGCAGATGGTGTTCAGACAGGCTTTAAATTCTGAGGTTGACTGAGTGCAGAACAGGCAGTTGTGGAGCTGCAGGGTAAGAGATCAGCCACTGTTTGGAGAAGAGCTACAGAGATGCCAGGGGACATTTGGTGATGTTGGGTGCTCTAGGAAATAGTTCCATCATTGCCCAGTTTTATCTGCTTAAATTGGTTGGAAGGTCTGAACAAAGAAATGAGGCTTCATACTCCCAACAGGAATTGTGATTCTTTCTGGAAGCAAATTAAATCTGTAGCATAAATGAGTCTTTGCCAAGTTTGCAAATTGATTGCTGAAATAGTTTTATTAAGAACCATTAGGATTATTTTTAAATTGTAAATATTTATCAGTTCATCAGAATATAAAAATTGTACACTGCATAATGATTAGCTTARRGTTCATGTTGATCAGATGTTACATRTCTTGTRAAGCTGAAAGACTGACTTGGATCATCAAATGAAAGTGTAATATGGATTATTTTCTGCTTAAGATTTGAATAGAGAATGTGGATGATTGAGTGCAAGCGTCTTTGTGAGCTTGCACAGACTGTAGGAAATGCTGAGGTACTAAATATATTTCCAGTTCATATRGGTCGATTTAGAATCTTGCCATGTTGTTGAACWAAGGCTTTACAATGCTGAGCTATKTTAATACTCATGGAYATCAGAGTAGRTACTTCTGATTACATGATGRTTGTGGGAGAGGCTGGGTAAGGTARTCTCATCCTGGGAAATGTATTGTTCTTCTATAGAATKACCTGGCTGGAATTCAGAGGATGCCCCTGAAATGTTCTTGCAGATAATTGGCCATGTTCCACCTTAGAAAAGAAAAACTGCCAAGGAGCCTTGTCATGAGCATTTCAGCTGCAGCAGGTCTCTTGGATGATCCCAAGTTTTTCATTAATCCCAAATATGGAACTATAACACRTGTGTTTTGTGCATGCTGTTCAGTTTAATGCTTGGCAGTTATCTAAAATTCTAAGTTATAATAATTCATCAATAAAGAGATGCTSCTTGTAAATCCTAGCTTTGTTTTGTATTTGCCTGCTGCAAAAACAAGGCTAAAACAGGGGGATGCAAAAGACCATGGCATTAAAGCAAGTAATTCTTCTGTTCTTGGAATTTAGCACTGGTGATAGCAAGTGCTATTTTGTAGGGTATGCTTTAYTTTCTTTGAGCTTTTATTTGGTGTTGGTTTTGTCTGTGTTTTTAGCTTCTTTTTAGTTTGCACTGTTTGAACTCTGAAAAACCCCTAATAAAAAGAACGCAAAATGKAGAGGTCTTTGTCACTTTTTCCTGCTGCCTTTTCCACAGAAATTCCATGTCCTCCTTAAGAAAAGGAAACAACGAAAATCGCAGGAGCGTATTTTATACCTCTGAGGACTGGGAACTGCTGGATCCAACCCCAAAAGACTTGGAGGACTCAATGGCTCTGGAAGAAAAGAGGAAACACCTGGCAGAAGGAAGTAAAGGTAGAAGTGGAGGAAGGAAGGGGAGCATATGCTTTACTTTGTTTACTGAAGTGTACTGTGTTATGTCTGTCTCTAGGAAAYAAGTGGAAGCTTATCTTTTCTCCACAAACCAGATGCAGAGTTCTGTAAAATACTTAAAAAAGATTATTTCCCTATGATGTGTTTGGGGTCCCCTGCCATTCAAATGCAAGACAGTAAAGACAAAGCCTTGTTAGCCACTGTTTCTGGTTCCCTGAGTGTGTTACTAGTTCTAATTTTGTCACTTGAGCTGCACAGTACCAAGGTGAAGGGAAATGCTGAGGTTTGTAATTACTCACTTGAGTGTCATCCACTGAAGCAGAATTGCCCTTAGTCTCTGTGTGTGCAGCTGTTCTGTTGGCTTGCTGCTGCAATGGGAAAAAGCAGGGATGCACATGAAGCAGCAGCTCATCTGTGTGTTGTAACTGGTTCTCAGATTTGACCAGTGTCTGGGGTAACCCTGTCAAGGTGTTTTTGCATCTCTTAAGGTGTCACCCAGGTTATTTAATCTGTTAGAAAACATCCTGTACATGGAGGTGAAACCTTACACTGACTGCCTCTCACAGGAGCAGTGAGCTGTGATATCAGAGATTGCTTTGCTCTGATTATTTGAAGCAAAGTTTACTTGGCTGTAGTTACCTTTTGTTTTCTGTAATGAATTGTAAAATTCTTTTCATGTCTTTAATGAAAAGTGTTAATTTATGAGCCAAATCTTTTATCTGGGAGGGGAGAAGACTTTGAGCTTTTTTTTTTCCCACCAAAGGGAAAAACTTGGAAAATGAGGCATGGTAAACTATTGTATTGAGTGGTTTGAAAGCTAGWCAAAGACTAATGTTAATGAGTTTATTTTTTAAGGAAATCTGAATGCTTTGAAATGCCTTTTTAYTAAGTGAACCGAACTAGAAGAAATTGTTTTATGCAGGACTGACTAGTTCAGCTTTTCCATTTGATTTTGGCCGCATCCCACACAAAGCAAGGCGCCCGTTGAAAGATATGATTGGATCGAGCAAAAACCGGAGCAGCAGCGACTCTTCTCCAACAGAGTGGTGTTCTGGCAATGGCAACAGACTCGTCTCTGAGCTGCAACTCAAGTATCAGAGCCAGCAGGAAGAGCTGGAGAAGCTAAAGAAAGACCTCYTGAGCCAAAAGGTAATGAAGCCTTCAGGCAAAGTGCACAGAAGCAAATGGGTCTGGCAGGTGATTGTGAGTTTAACCTTTCTGGCCATCTCACTGCCTTGACTTGGTTGCTTGTTATAAGATCGTGGTTCTAAACAAACATTTGTGTGCAAAAAGTCTTAAAACAAGAAGGACCATCTTTTACATCTGTTGAAGATTATATTTCTAAATAAAACTTAYATTTGTAYAGTGTTSATTAAACTGATATCTCTATTTTCCKTATTCTCTGAAGTTAACTTGTTCAGTGTCTGCTGGGATCCTGGCTAATAGTCACAGCTTCTTTTTCCATAACCCATACAACATCTTAGGAACTTCTCCTTTCATGTTCTCTGTGTTTGCCTTTTGGTTCTTTCAGTGCTAGTGCAGTGGGTGGGGAATGGCCCTTTTCTCTCATCAGGAATGGTTTTGTAAAACATAGACCTAACCATAATGWGTGTATATAGTACTGCACTCACCTRGTGTTCATGCTTGTATGCCCTCATAACTCCAGTTTATTCAATACCTTGGTTTTAGCTAAAAGAATTTCTACTCATTTTAAGAAGAAAAATATTTTAGATCTTATATTGAGCTGTTCCTTCTACTATTTGTATTTTGCTTTGTGTGAGGTGATCAAAGGGAAACTAAAGAAGGAATGTCTGAGCCCCATATTTATACTCATTTTATGCCTTATCTTTCCTACAAGTCTATTTGAGCTTTTCAGCCAGCTGCTGTGAGAAATCTCATTGCTCTAGTGCAACAGTGCAGTCACGGCTGCTTCTGTTTTAATAAGAAAAGAAAGAAAAAGGGTGTTGTAGGTACTCATTTCTGTGGCAAGATTTTCTAAACAGCCCTTCAAAGACTTCCTTTTTGGTAAAACAGCATTTGTTCTTTCCTCCTTTCATTTTCTCTGCATCGGTTAGAGAAGAGAGCTCATAATTACCTTTGCTTTTTCCATWCTGTAATGTTTTTCTGTGAACTTTTTGGGCTTAAACCTCTTTCTGTTCGTCTTGCAATAGGGCTGCTTTCAAGCAAGGCTATTTTCAGCTCTCAGGTATCTGCTGGGCCAGAGCTGCCCACTAGTTTTCCTTAACCTGTTGTGCCCTTTCTAGGGAGGATCCTTAGCTCAATGAAAGACACAAAGCCATCTGTGTAGGCCATGCATGAGGTCCGAACCTGTTCCAAACTTCCTTTTGCTTGATGTTAGATTTCTAAGCTAAAAAATTTGGAAACTTAACATTTCATTGGATTTTTTTTGCTGTTGTTTTTAATTCTCAGGAACTTGTTCGACTTCTGCAGCAAACAGTCCGATCATCCCAATACGATAAATACTTTGCAAGCCGCCTTTGTGAGGGGGTTCCCAAAGACACCTTAGAGCTGTTGCACCAAAAAGATGACCAGATTTTGGGCCTCAACAACCAGCTGGAAAAGTTAAATCTGGAAAAAGATAATCTCCAGCAGGARGTCAAGAATCTGAAATGTAAAGTTGGAGAGCTCAATGAGCGGCTGGGAATGTTGATGGAAACTATTCAAGCTAAAGATGAAGTGATCATGAAACTCTCTCGTCARCTCAGTGAATGTGAGGACAGCACATCCTCTCAAAGTGGAGCAATCAATTCCCCCACAGCCACCTCTGCTAATAAGGARCTACAGGAACTGGACAGACTAAAAGTAAGAGCATTATCTCTGTCTTGATGCATAGGGCAATCTCTTCTCCCTGTAGAAGTACTTTTTAGTCTGCTGTACTGTTTGAGATCACTACAGTTCTSCAGGACACTCATCAATGGAGGCTTTCTCTGCTTGGAACCTCCACTTTGAGCTATTGTGTGACAATCTAACCAAAACTTCTTCCTTTGGGCCATCTATAGTGCAGGGTCCTGTACTTTCAGTAAACTATTCATTGATGTGGAGGAGATGGGATGTGAGAAATAATCAAAGGAGCAGGAAGGATTAAGGGTAAGAAGAAAATATAAGCATGGAGGAAAGCAAACAGAAAGCGTGGTYTTTAAAATTTTAAATATCAAAAGTGACAGGCAACAAAGAGCATGTGGAATAGCAAAGGGAAGCTCTGAGGAGACAGAARAGAACCTGTTTTACTAATGCTGCTACAGCTCTTACTAATGCTTTATTTTTATCCTTTAACATACCTCTGTGAATGTGTCACAAGTTCTTAATGGAGTTACTCACTTCATTGAAGTTATTCACTTTGCTCAAAACAGGCTTTCCTGCCTTTGGGTACATGTTGTATTTTGAATTTATTAACATTCCAAGGATTTGGAATATAAATCAGTTGTGTTAAATATTCATAACGATAAATCATCTTCTTTCCTGTATATGAGCCTGGTAAGTTTTAAAAAATAAAGTTGAAATTGGAAGTAAGTGGTCTTGGCAGAAAGCAGCCAGAGYTTGTAGGTGCTGGGAGGGCAGCAGCCCCATCCCACAAGCTCAGGTGTCAGAGGTGGTATTTGTRGCCTGGATCTGGTGGATCAGGCAGGGAAGCTTATTGCCAGGGATTTCTATTTCTATATGGAACAGACATGAAACTTGTACTTTTAATGRGGACTGGTGGGGATCATGAAAAGCCAAGAGGTAATGGAAACGGCTTTTTCATGTTGCTGTGGCCTCTGTGGTGTGCTCAGCCTGACTCTTCTCCTCCCTGGCTGTCCCTTGACACAGCCAGCTGCCTTCTGCAGGAGCCCTGCGGGGGATGCAGGTGAGGCACAGCACCACCCTCTGCTCACATTTGGCATCTGTGTTTCATTTACATGAACTCCAGAAGTAATATTTCATTTGAGCCTGTTTTTTTAATTRTAAGTCCTATTAGTAGCTGCTGTTTCTATGCTCTAAGGTGATCTTTGTCTGACAGGCACAAATCACTTTGTTCTTTGTTCAACAGGACAATCTTCAGGGTTATAAGACCCAGAATAAATTTTTAAATAAGGAGATTTTGGAACTTTCTGCTCTACGAAGAAATGCGGAAGCAAGAGAGAGAGAATGGCAGGCAAAGGTCAGCATGTTCTCACTGGGCCATGTCTGAAGCAGTTTTCCCTATTTTAGCTGTAAATCTACCCAGGAAATTGAACAACTTAAAAGTATTAAATGTGATAGCTTTCAAAAAAAGCCCTCTCAATCCTTACAGACCAATCTGTTGGAATGGACTCTTGAAAGAAGTAATTGCTTTGAAAATTGTGTGACCTAGTGGCACGTTTTGATTTATGAGCACAGGCATGTATATTTCTGAAAATACTGTTTCATTGGAATTAATGCTGTAATGATTTTTTTCAAGTGTCAGTGATAGGMTGTGTAAGGATTTGATGGGTCACTGAGTAGAGCTTTCTCCTGAGCTCAAAGATCACTGTGGTTTGGTGAATGTAATTTGGGAGTTTCTGTCTAGGTAAATTGGAGGGTAGCAATGTTGCAGGTAAATACTGAAGATTTCCAGTGCTTGGGGCTGGGAGAAATGCACACATCTGTGGCTAAGGTTAGATACCTGTACCTTTGGTTTGGTAGGGTTTGCTTTTGTTTTTTTGGAAGTGATACACTCAGTARCCAGACTTAAATGCTCTATTTTTGGCACAGAGGTGAGTGTTTACAATTCCTACATGCTATTGCCTAATCCATATGCCACTTCAGTTGTTCCTGTTCAAACATGCACAGACTCAAGCTGCTACAACTCAACCATTTTGTTATTTTAARGGATTTCATACAATGCAGTGATAACTAAGGTTTGCTCAGATTTTCTATATGAGAACATATGTGTGGTAGAAAACATCTGGTCTACTGTGCTGCCTTACATTTCCCGGTGTTACAAAAATGGGAAAGTTAAGCTGAATGTTCTTGGCTCAGAGGTTTCTGAGTAGCATAAACCAAGAGAATAGCATTGAGTCAGATTTTAAAGGAAGTGTCTGAGGATTTATCTAATCTATTGTTTTCTGCAGTATACCAGCTTGGAAGCCAAACTCTGCCAGATTGAAAGTAAATACTTGATCTTGCTTCAAGAAATGAAAACTCCTGTTTGTAGTGAGGATCAGAGTCCTGCTCGTGAGGTCATCACACAGTTACTGGARGATGCCTTGAAAGCAGAACCTAGTGAACAACCAGAACAAGCATTTTTCAAACCACACCTGGTCAGGTCAGAAAAACATTTAATAGTGGTTAAAACTTAGGAGCTACAGAGAGTGGCTTTGATGTAACTTTACTCTAGGAACTTGATAGCTTCAGGGCTACTGAATATATTTTTAAAGCCTTTTCTCTTTTTTCCTCTCCATTTCAGTGAATATGATATATATGGTTTTCAGACAGTCCCAGAGGATGATGATGAGGAGAAACTAGTAGCAAAATCACGAGCTTTGGACTTGAGATCACTTTCACTCAGTGAAAATCGAGAGATCTCCACAGGAGTGAAATGGGAAAACTACCTTGCAAGCACAATGAACAGAGAGATGATGCGCTGTGTGGAGCTGAAGAACCTGATTCGCTCTGGGATTCCACATGAGCATCGCTCCAAGATGTGGAAATGGTGTGTCAATCTCCACGTTAAAAAATTYAAGGACAGTGCTGCTCCTGGCTACTTCCAAACCTTGCTTCAAAAAGCTCTGGAAAAACCAAATCCTGCATCTAAACAGATTGAGTTGGATCTCTTGAGGACTTTGCCAAATAACAAACATTACTCCTCCCCAACATCCGAAGGGATCCAGAAGCTGCGAAATGTGCTGCTGGCATTTTCCTGGAGAAATCCTGATATAGGATATTGTCAAGGGCTCAACAGGTAAGATTTTGATAATCTTGGGTAATAACTGTGCAGTGAAACCCTTRATGAGCCTTTCAGTAACATGGTTTTGAACAGCAGTTTGCCTTATGAGTTGTATGCTCAGAATTTGTAATAAAAAAAAATTTTAACATGTTTTAAACCAATGAAAAAAGCAGATAACCTRAATAATGAATTTTGTAAAASCAACTTRGCARCAAAGCTGTSACTGGAAKTAACTCATAAGAAATGGACTACCTAAATGTAGTTTACTTTGTCTTCATATCAGTTGTAGGGGATTGTGTTGCTTTTTCGTGCAAGAAGTTGTTTTTCCTTTTTTAAAACAAGTAGAAATAAATGCTTGTAAGCTTTCTTTGTATTGTTAAGGCCACAAATTTCAGCATTTCTCTCTTATGTCTTCAATCAGAATTGAAAAATTCAATGGTGATTCCTGTGTTACAATGGTATGAAAAATTCTGATTCATTGCAATTGATCTTTCCCAGAATAGCTTTGCTACTTGGAGATGTGTAGCAAAAGAAGATGAAGCAGATGTGCCTCATCYCCATGCTGTAATATTATAGATGTCTATTTTTGTACAATTTTTGTACTAAAATAGGATTTTAAACTTAGGGCAGCTTTGTCATCTGAAATGGCACTGAAGAAGTAGTAGAATAGAAGCAGTGACTAATGTAGTAAGAGTAATAAGCCTGTGGTGGTAGCAGTTCTAGCAATGTGGAAACCTCACCCTMACACCCTGTGCAGAATAAACATCTTTGTAAACTAGACTCTGTCTGTGTTTAGAGAGCTCTTAAAACTGGAAGCACCAACAGTAAAAGGAATTCTTAAAGCAAGCCTTTGCCTTTATCTGTTTTCTTATTTAGCTGAATAAAAAATACTTGGTGTGGTTGAGAAGGTATGTCTTTGCTCCATCTTAAACTTCTCTARCAGTTTTGCTGTTTGTCAGTGCTCTTCTGTTCATACATTTATCTTTGCTGAACAAAAACAAATATTTTAATGGGTCTTAATGTATTTTGTGATACTATGATAAGTTTTTCTCCAAATAATAATGTTTTTCAGGTTAGTAGCAATTGCACTTCTGTACTTGGAACAGGAAGATGCTTTTTGGTGTCTAGTAACAATAGTGGAAGTTTTCATGCCTCGTGATTATTACACCAAGACACTGCTGGGATCCCAGGTATGTTCTCTGCCAGGATGGTGCTGTGASCTGCAGCCAGTTAACAGCATTCCTCTGCAACTGTCCAATGGGCCTTTTTGGGAGCAGGGGGGGGAGAGGAGTTTTCAGGTGTGGGTTCCAGGCACCTGGGCCTGTGTTTGGACAAGGACTCCAACACTGAGATAGTTGTTCAGTGTCCTGTGGGAGCTGCAGCCCTCAACTCCCTGCTCATTATTTGCTTCACAGCACTGAGCTGTTTTATCATTTCTTTCCTCGCTTTGGGGGTGTGGTGGTGCTGGGCTGTGTGGGAGGGCCAGGGTGAGGATGCATTTGCAGTGCTGCCCCTGCAGCATTCCTGTTCACGGTGCTGCTCCTCCAGCCMAGTGGTTCCCAGCATGTTCTCTGGTGCCCTGCTCCTGCCCCAGTGCAGCACTGCTGACCTGCAGTGGGAGCACAGCAGATGGGTGTGAGGAGCCCTGTCACACCCAGGGCTGGGTTGGGAAGCAGACAAGGGCAATGTGCAGCAGGGTGGATGCTTTGGAARTGTTACCTGGACAGCCCTGGGGTTCCAGGTTACCTCTGGAAAAACCTGGACTTCCAGATTGGTAATAGCCCTGCTTTGGATGATGTGTTGGAGAATGGGAGCAATAACACCCTCTTTGTCATCTCTTTAGGTCGATCAGCGAGTATTTAGGGATTTGATGAGCGAGAAGCTTCCACGACTGCATGCTCATTTTGAACAATATAAAGTTGATTATACTCTTATCACTTTCAACTGGTTTCTTGTGGTGTTTGTGGACAGCGTGGTTAGCGACATCCTTTTCAAAATCTGGGACTCATTCCTCTATGAGGGACCAAAGGTGAACTGAATGGGCTAAGTTTGTTCATTTGTTACCTGCTAACAAAGCACTCTGGTGTTATTGAGCATGGGGCTGGAGGAAGGCTGTTTTGCAAAAATCCTGTCAGTTAAAATCACTGGTAGGAAAAAAACAAGGGAGGAAATGTGCATAAACACCCATTCAGAACATTTTCCATTTTATCTTTGTTCTGCAAGTTAAGAGCTTGAGTTACATGGAAGAATTTTAAATGCAAATATTTTCCTTTTACCATCCACCTTTTTCTCCCCTTTGAAAAATAATGGTGTAGGCAGAGCTGTTTACTTCTATATGCAGCTGTCAATCAGTTTTGAGTAATTATCTCAAGATGAGAGCTACTCTTAGAAAGAAGAAAGCTTAAGTGAAGGAGTCAGAAGTATTGAAAAATTTAAAAAATTCAATTAAATTTTGAAAAAGTAAGTTAAAAGTACAAATTAGTTGTAACCAAATGCTAATGTTTAGCTTGTCTCTCCAGCAAATATTTGTTTTATGTCTGCAGACTTGTAAACATCAAATGACAAACAGAGCCTCTTGGGGCTCTTACCTCATAAAATTAAGGGAGGGCTGTGAAAGATTTATCAGGTATTGCATACCTGTTGAATTGGAATGACATAAAATCAGTGCAGGAAAAAAAATCGTGCACTAAAGTAGATGCTGTAGACAGCTGGAGAGAACAGGTGAGCAGTAAAGTAAGATGACAAAAACTGTGTGTAAGCTGGATTTCTTGTTGGCCTTGGCTGGGCATTCTAACACGGTGATATTTTGGCTATGTTTGTTCAGATCAGTTAAGCCTTGGTGTTTTATGAATGCAGCCAGGTACAGACTGAGAAAGTTCAGAACTTACTGAAACCTTTTTGGAGTGAAGGAAAATAATACTTCTTCCAGCTCATTCCAATGCTGATGGATAAACTGGTATCAGAAATTCCTTCAGCATCAGTCTCTGCTTATGTTGGGAGAATTCAGGGCATTGGAGAACAGCCTGTTTAAAAATCAAAATTTAAATTTAGCTGTGAAGTAACTTAATAACTGCATTCGATAAACCCAGCAGTCTTTGCTACAGCTGAATCTGGCATTAAAAATACAAAAAAAAAAATTGAATGCTGCAATCTCAATCTTGTATTTTGGATAGATCTGCAGAACACCTTATCTTGGTTACAGCCCACTGCTGTATTTGGCAGCTTTGGGAAATAAGGGCTGGGACAGGGAAGGGAGCAGAGGGAGATGTGATGAGAGAGCTCAAATGCAGCCTRTGCAAGGGTCACCTTTCTCCTTGGAATTTAGAAAGATGATAATGGGAATCAGTGCATTCTCTGTATTTACAAAGTACCAAATACTGCATGTATTTTTATCAGGTAATATTCCGATTTGCCCTGGCACTTTTTAAATACAAAGAAGAGGAGATGTTAAAGCTGCAAGATTCGATGTCCATTTTCAAGTACCTTCGCTATTTCACGCGCACCATCCTTGATGCCAGGTGGGTAACTCACACTGGGCTGGCACTGAAGGACTTGTAGTGGGCCACGGGAGGTGGCTGTGGCTTTGGTTTTGTTTTTATCTAGATCCTAATTCAGACAGAAAACAACTAGATATGCAACTAACTGCTAAGATTTGYCATGAGCACTTTTATCCAGCAGAGACAAATCAGAAGTGATGAAAGCTTAAATAGTAATTTTAAGGTGTGAAACAGATTATCTTGTTTAGCTGTTGCATCATGGTAGCAGCACATCAGAATTTCAGCCATAGGTGAAGTTTCCCCCTGCATTGCAGATGCAACTTGTTAGTAAAATGTTTTATGATAAATAAAAACACATCCTGGCTTTAATGCACATCCTGGCATTAAAAATGTGAGCCATGTTCCCTAAGGCTTAGGACTCTTATGCATGATTAATGCACAGGCTGCTGCCACATTGCTCCAGCTGACTTTAAGATACACTTGGAAGCAGAGAATAAATACAAAGTAGAKATTCTTCTGTTCTTCAGTCCTTGCATAGGACTTACAATTTGTACAGTAGGGTTTGGTGGTTTTAGGTTCCTGGTTTCAAGACTGTAGAGCTGCAGAATAATCTGGAAAAGGAAAGTCATATTGGGATTGGTTTAATGCCTGAAAATGTTTTGCACATCTTCTGAAATCACCAATTTTCAATTTAGTGCAAAACCGTATATTGAAATCTGAGATGTTTGTTTTTATTGTAATAAATTCCACATAAATTTAGGGTTATACTTTGACTCCTGCTCCAAGAGCTTATTATTTTCACTTCTTGTGTTTCAGTTTTGACTGTTAGACTGTTGATTGTTAGAGAAGTTAAAACCAAATTAACTTGTGCTTGAAAGGGTTTGCTGGGATTGATGCAGAGAGAAAGAATTTTTCTGTTCTTAACTAATTTGAGCAAAATTTTGATTTCATCAGAGGTGAAGATTTGGCTTTCCATCCCTTTTCCACTTATGAAAATCATGTCTTGATTCTACTGTCTAAACTTTCTGGTTCTGAAATAACCTATTTTAAAGATTTCTARTATTTCTGAAAGACATCTCATTTCAGTGTTAACAAAATGAACAAGTTAGGGATCAYTGGGAGATGGGGAGTTCAMGTAAGGACAGAATTCAGTACATCCRAGATATTTGTAATACAAATATGCTCTGTGCTGATCTGCAAGTCTCTGCKTTTTGGGGTTTTAAAAGTGGAAGTTGTGGTGTAGTGCCACCTAGGGAATATGGATTTCCCTGCTAGGTCTGACAATACAGGATTCAAGCTGCCTTGTTTCTTATTCTGCCATGTTTGTACAARTTTTATAGCATCAACATTTGAGCAGTTCAAAAGCATGTAGAATGAGGTCTTTTCTGATATGGACAAGAAGCTATCTGGTTGTAGAGTTAAAATTCAGAAATATTTATGGRATTCTTGGATGTTCTCARTGGGTTAAAAATCATTCTGCACRGCRTTTCTWAGTGGAARCTATAGTRAGAGGTCTCTACAGATGCATATAAYTGTATTCTAGGTGCAGGATGTCATAGTTGTGTTTTTCTACAGATGCATAGCATGTTGTGCACAGGTAGAAAAGCTGTTGGAATATGTTCTGTGTCGGAAGAGCAGGAAATCGTTCCTTGACCACTAAAAAATACAAACCTAGCCTTAAATAAACTGTCTGAAAAACATTTCTTAATATTTATTTCTGATAATTCAAATAGAATAAATTAAATATTCTAGCTCCTCTTTTTTCCTTAGTAAACAATGAGATATTTTAGGTGATAAAGATGTAGTTAACTCTTTGGACTGATTAGACAGACCAGTGGTGGGTTTGCTGGGGCTGAAGGATGGTGTGAGGCAGCCTGACTCTGGAAGGGGGCTGGATCCTCTCTGGTGCTTTSCTGTGTGCCCTGACAAGTTTGACTTGACACTGTTCCAAAGATCTTTGTGCTCCAGCCAGCAGGATCCCAGAGCATTCTGACTGTACTGGAAACTTCGGCTTGTCCATGTTCTGTATTGTCCTTATCCTTGGGTTCTGTATTATCCTTGTCCATGTTTATGTTATCCCAGGCTCTATCTGGTCTCCTCATTTTCAGGGTATCTTGGTTAACTGCAGAGCTGATYTGGGATTGAAGGATCTTCAGTGGGTTCTCTGGAGGGAGTTACCCARTCTATAACAGGGYMCTGGATGTACCAAGTGTTCAGCRTAGCCCAGGGTGCTCTCATTACCCGAGTTTATGGCTTTGCTCAGATCTGTCAAGGCCACGATCTCTGTAGCATTATACAGAGTTTGGAGGTGGCTTTAGGAACTCCTGAGCATTTGATATCACTKTATTATTTGAAATAACCTTAAGCCTGAGTGCTTTATAGAAATTCCTTGCAATATTGATAACATCTGAGACCTGTCAAGTGTCAAAGAGACCAGCGATATCTGCTATATGATAAAAATCAATATAGATGCAATCCAAAACTGATTTAAAACCCCACCAAACATGAATGATTGTCTTGTAACRTTGTGTCATCTTGCAGGAAGCTGACTTCTATTGCTTTTGGAGACCTGAACCCTTTTCCCTTACGCCAGATCAGGAACCGCAGGACCTATCACCTGGAGAAAGTGCGCCTGGAGCTGACGGAGCTGGAAGCCATTCGCGAGGATTTCCTGCGCGAGAGAGAGACCTGTGTAGAAAAAAGAGACCTTATTAGTGATGATGAGGAGGATAGCTGAAACTGCTTAATATAAACTGTTCTTTGGGATCGTGACCAAAGTGAGTTAACCTCCAAAACACTTTATTAATCCTGTCAAACAGAATGTAAACTAGTTGCTTTTGGAAATATGCAGGACAGATTTCCAAATCCCAGCACTTTCAGAAATACCACTTTGTATGGAGGCCAAACACTTCTGTTTACATTTATGTTCATGGAATTATTTGTAGAGCACTTAATATCTGTCTCAGTTTAGTCAGTCAGTGGAATTGATGGTTGTTTTCCCACACTGCACCATTAACGCCTGGATGTGAAACAACAAGGAAAGTCCATGCTCTGTTACATTCATTGCCATTCTGAGTTAAGGGTTTTTTGATGTAACCGTGTCTTTTGTAGTGCAGGGTCCATGTGAGAGGACATAGTATTTCTTGGATTCAGGTTGGCTCAATCTAGCCATTCTTGAGGTCATTGACTAGAACAGCAAGGGATGAAGCACAGGAAGAGCTCTCACGTTCCTTTGTCTTTTCCTGAAATGTCATGCTGTGGATCACCAAACAAGACACTTGAGTACAGGTATCTCAAGTAAAGGTAAAATAAGTATCTATTTATCACTGAATGTTGAGTGTGTACTGAAACAGTGGTAGCAAACATCATTTCTGCTTTTCAGGACAGCTGTGGTGATAAACATTCTCATTCAGGCAAAGGAGTCTATAGGTCAAGTTCTGTTTAGTCCATTTTATTTCCATTCACTTTTTTGATTGCAATAGCTCAAAAAGATCACAACCAAACTCCAAATATTATGGAATAATGGAGTTTGTCACAGGAGTACCATGCTTTAGTAGCTATTTTTGTCTATCTGTTGAAGTTTTGTTTTGCTGTGTTTTTTTTGTTTCTGTGGGGTTTCTTTTTTATTGTTGTTTTTTTTTTCTTTTTTCCTTTTGTTTTGATGCTTCTTCCTATTTAGGACCTAAGGTGAAATCTTGCTCTTTAAGAAGAAGCACAGCATTCTTTCTGCATGATTGTATAACTATTGTACAATAATGGTCATGACAGGGTTCATGAAACAAATATTTATCAATCAGTGAAAGGAACCTAAGGGTCCCAGCCTGCACACAGGAACTGAAGATCCTTTCCCAACAGAAAAATGCAATATTCTCTTAATGTGCTCAGCTTTACTCTTTACTGTGAGTGTTGGATGCACATCCTGCAGACAGCTGTAAGGAACAACACCTGGGCTGCTCAGCTGTAGTGTTTCTGCTGTGCAAGTGTGACTGGAGACCATTCTCTCTCATTTGCTGACTAGCAGTGCTCATGAAAGTTGTGGAGAGGAGGGTTTCTTTCTTATTGGCTGTTCTCTGGACTTTTGCAATGTTTGTTTTTTCTTGAACCATTGGATCTTCAGAATGTTGGAGTGACTATAATGTGTCATGACAAAACTAGGATTCAAATACTTGGCAGCAAACCTCTGAGCTCTGGGGAAGTAGTCAATTGGCAAAAAAACAAAACTAGTCATTCGGAAGAGTCAAGTCCATCAAGCTTGTATTTTGTGTGTTTTGTTTCAGTCTTCTAGAGGTATTAGTACTTTATTGAGTATAATCATGTAATCATTTTGGTCAACTTAACCATGTGCAGAGAGAAATCCTGCTTCTGTTCCACAGCACTTTCTATTTTATTTTAGAGAATGTAGTTGTAGCCTTCTCCAAGTAAGCATATTATGTTAGTTTATATGGAAGGGAACTATTTAATCAGAGGTGAAGTTGTAACTAAGAGGACTACTTTTGATATAAAATCTATGCTTCCTGTRTAACACATAATTTTTACTTAGTCACCAAATCCTTGCCACTGAGGGACTGATGGTGTGATCMTCTTGATTTATATGTTCCCAGTCTTCTAAAATATCCCCTACCTTGTCTATTGTAAGCAATAATTGGGAGTTTTTTTAATTCCTTAGTTATTCTTTGTGTACTGGAGGGCGGGGTTTTGATATTATTGCATGTACTGTATTCTTTTTCTACTTACAATCAGTATTTGAATACAAAAATGGGACCAGGTTTTCTAATTTTCTAATTGYGCTGTCTTGGTTTTGAAAGAGCTGGTCTCTAAATCAATCTGTCATGTAGGCTTTTTGTTTGTATGTTTGTGTTACGGTTGTTTGAATGTTGTTTTCAAGTGTTAAATGAATTTTACGGTGAAGATCTTCCTTTCAGTGACCACAATTGAAATACTAAGGTGAAGAATTTAAAGGTTTGTACCCACTGTATTTCTACAATCTGTTACTCTTTGACATTGAGTCTTCAGTATGAGTTAGTCCTGTGACTTCAGGTGATATTTTCAGACTGATTCCATTGAAGTCTTTGGGTTGGGAAGATAAAAGTAACCTTAAGACAGCTGTTCAGAAAGTTCTTTAGCTTACTAAACACAGCCTGCAATGTTACAAAACCATTTTTKTTGCAGTTGTGCTGATGGTTCAGTTTGTCTATTGCTGTGTTTCCTTCTATTAAGCTGATATCAGTTGTTCAGTAAAACCAAGTAGCTCTGTTTCTTYTGCCATGGTGTCACTGTTATCCATGAATGTTAGGAACCCTGTACAAGTTGTGCTGTCTCAGGGTATTTTGTCAGCTTGCAAATATTAAAGGAGTTGATTCTGTTATGTTCAAGTTTCCAACGAGCTGTTGGCTTCATTTTGTTAAGCCTTGTTACTGATTTAGTGATGGGTTAAAAGGTCCAAAAATTGCAGAGTCTTCTCACCTCTGACCACTAGAAGTCTCCATGGAACAAAAATGAGATGCATATAACAGGAAGCAACATCAGGGGAGGCTTGCCTTGCTTGCTCTTGCAAATGTCTTTGTGTGACTTAGTTTTCTAGTGGTGCTTGATCTGGTAACCTTGGAGAGTGGTAACTCATTAGGGACATGCAGGATACACAGGCAGTATTTTAACCTGATGAAACCAGGCCAAATGAGTGTGTCTCAGTGGTCTGCCAAAGCTGAACTGCATGGAGAGTTTGAGTTTGGGTGTGAACATCTGAAGTGGTGCATGAGGTTTAACATTCAGACCAGCCAGGTAGTGGCCAATTGACCAGTTCATGCAAATAATGACTGCCAAGATGATATTTAAACTTCATAGCCTTGCACATATGTGCAAAGAGTTCCTCATGCATGGTTCCCAGAATATGTGATGTAACCCAGACCACTGAGTTGCATCTTGCAGAAAATTCCTCCATCTGAATGCACATTTGCATGGCTTCATGGTGAAACTTTTCATTAGTTGTTTAAAATGGTCTATTATCTTCTGTTAAATGGGAAAAAAATGGGTCCATTTCACCTCTAGTTATTAAAACTGCACAGTATTTCAGCTTTACCTGTGTACAGGTAATGTTATCATCCAGTGTTATCACATTGTTTGGTGTTGTTCTTTTTACCAGCTATGTAATCAATAAAAAGGATTTTTCTGTTGCCCTTTAGGTGTCTTCTGTGAGAGATTCTCCCTTTCCCCTCAGTCTTTGTATAMATGATAAGATATTTCAGCAGAAAGGGAAATACTTTTTTTCTTCCTTATACAACATCAGAAGCTAATGAATGGTCTTTAAATTTGTCAGAGTTGTATGTTCAATCACTTAACTGAGAAATGGAAAATTGATTAAATTAATGAAATGGTGTATCCTTTTAAGTGACTGTTCCCCTCAAGTGCCATGTTAAAAATCAGCAATATGCGGTACAAGAAATTTGAATTACAAACATAAGTGATGTTACTGTCATAAAGATTGATGTAAAGAAAAAATAAATTGTTTATTACTTTATAGATTGCTCTGGTTCTTCTTCCTTTTTTTTCCCATAACAGATGGAAATATCTGCAGGTGCCATCAGAACAAGCCAGTAGTAGAACTTGTATTTTTGTCTGATAATGAGGTCTGAGAAAATCAGTATAAAGGAACATGCATGTAAATTTGGCTTTGAAGCATGAAGATATGAACCATAGACATGTTGCATGCAGGTGATGCTGTCTGGGTAAACTTGTGGTTGGTGTCCTTAGTTTCTTGGGAGAAGAGGGGAGGGAGATAAAATTTGCGTAAGCATTCACAGGAATTCTGAGTTCACACAATTCTGAAAAACATTTGTGTGATAGCTCCTGACACCAAAAGCTTCTTTGAGAAGCTTGGTACTAATGTTCTGCCACAGTCTTTTGTAGTCAAATAAATAATTTCAGCTGTTTTGAAAATTTAACCGAGTACTCAATTAATTTAGAAATCCAGTCTCAATATCTGTATTTTAGATATGAATTTTGCATTTTGGAATTGCTTGATTCCCTTAAAGAGGCTTGAAGTACCTCAGCTACTTCAGAYATGCAACTTAATAGCTAAATGTTTGTAAGGGAGGAGAAAATAAGAGGTAGGACATGAYTGTAATTGCATGTCCAAGCATATCTTTCATAGCAGAGGTGAATAGTGCACAGTTGTTGTCCTCTGGCTCTGCTACAGAATGGCAAGCTGTTGGAATAGATATTGGCACAGCTGGAAATCTGTTCAAAGGGGTTGCAAAACAGGATAGACATCAGCAACTGAGGCAGAACATGACTGTGGCCTAAGGACCTCCTGTCCTGTAGACTGAAAATTTTTAAGTCAGAGAAATAAACAGAAAATTCTGGGAAGAGAGTGCACGGGGAGCAATGTCCTTGCTTGGATATTTGACATGTTTAGCCTGAGTCGGTTGTGTTGCCCAAAGCAGCTGCTGAGGTCTGTAAAGAACAGCTGAGACWCCCATTTGCTCCTTAGGACTAAGCTTGAGACATCTGCTCTCAGTGGGATTGCAAGAAGGATGTGAGTGTGGCTGATGTATGTTACAAACCCGGTTCCTAAAAAATGCATAACCTAGGATAAACACAGCTGGGTCTGCTCTGAACTGAGACCACATACCTGCAGAGTCTCACTGTGTTCTGAGTGCCTCAGAGTCTGTGGATATTACCAGGTATCAGGTGTTCCTTCTCTGGGATTTTCAGTAAACACAGCTTCCTTATCTGCAGCTCCTTGACCTCAGCTGAAAGCAGAATCCATGTAGTGCTGAAGCTTTAAGAATTCCCACACAAGAAGTGTGTTCCCTCASATAACACAAAGGAAGGGTGTGCTCTGCCTTAGGAACCTCCCCCCTGCAAAAGAAGGTAAAAGGTTCAGTCAGTTCAGTTAGCAGTGTGGTATTTTCACCACAGTGATGTGCTGTAGAAGCCACACTTGTSTGCAGTTCAAGGATGCCCACCTGAAGTGCCAGCTTTTCAGAGCATGAGAGTACAAAGCAAAACTCAGGATTATATACTAAATGTGATTTAAAAAAACACAGTTATTAAATATATATACACACATYAATTAMAACATTCAGTACTAGAATATGCCTGGTAAATTAGAATTACTTTGGCTAACTAAGATTCCCTCAGCCTTGAGCAGCTGTGTCCTGCCTGTGTCTCTCAAATGCAAAGTACCTTTTTTTTGTACAAACCAGTTAGGTTTTGCAGTGAGTTGCACCTGAGATGTCAGGTTTGAGCTGTTTAATGGGATCTGTAATGTCTTCGGGCATTTTGATTGGTGATTAAACTGTGGAATAAGCTATTTGCCTGTTTTAAGAAATGCAGGTCGTGTTTTTCTGGTATTTAATCCTGGAACTCACCCTTTGGAACACAAGGTATGGGTTTCCTACTTTGTCACTTCCTAAAGGAGGCTGGCAAATGTTTTTTACATTTAAAAACAGGCTGGCTGCAGTGTTTGCTGGTGCTGCCTAATAGAAACGCTGCTTAGCTTTTGAGTTTTCCTTTCTGTTCTTGTCCTGTATGCACAGAAGGGCTTTTACCTTCATCCAAAGGTGTCACAAAGAAGTCTGGGTTGATGTTTTAAGGGTGAATAACTGTAAAACCATGCAAGAGCAACATCCTACTTAGGCACAACCTTTATTTGGGCTTGCAAACCCTATGGACATGGCACTCAATCTACCCTTGCTGCTCTTGGAAACCTTGCTGGGCTGGCCAGCAAATAGTAAATTCAAAYTGGGATTATTCAGGGTCTAGGGAGAGCTTGTCCCAGTTTGAAAAGCAGTTGTGGCCTCTCGGGGCAAACCATAGTGTTTTGTTCCCTTCCTTGCAGCTAGGAACAAACAAAAGAAGTGGCCATCCTCATGTGCCCTTTGCTCTGAGAGTTTTGTAATGTGATTACCGTGACTTCCGTGCAATGATATCCCATTGCAGAACTAAAGGTGAGAAATGAAATATCTTTATTTCCCTTTTAGAAGCTCAGAATGCTTCCACTGCCCTTTGAAACCTTTACTGTWGCTCCCGTTTCCTGTTCCCCACCCTTTGTAGGGTCAGATGCAGCCACTTTCCATTTGGAGTTGGGAGGGCTGGGTGGAACTCGTGGGCTGTGGACACTGCTCCCAGGGCAGGCAATCAGGGACACAGTTCAGTCCTCTTGACTTRGAACAAGCCAAGTTTCTTTTTAACTGGAACAATAAAAAGCACTGCCTTTGGGCGCTTGCCTAGAATAAAGTCACTCTTCAATTTATCTATCTTCACACCTTACTTCAAAGGAAGACAGCCTGCTTATTTATGATGATTTGCCATTAGCTTGGTGCTACCTTAATCACATAGAGGATTGGAAGTGAAGGCAATAGAGGCACTTGTGTTTTATTTTGAAGGTGTGAACAATCCCACATCGTTTCTCATTAGTAAATGATGGATATTAACTTGCCCCGAAGAAATGTAAGGAGACCTAAGAGTGTTTACTGCAATTACTGTCTGCCAAATAAAGAAGGAGAAAATCTAGTTTTACAGGTTTCAGGGATGTCTTTATGATAGGAGAGTGAGCAGATGAAGGATGTCATTGTTGGAAGCCAATGCTTGGGCTAAGGCAGCTTGGAAAGCAGGATGGCAGAGRTTTGTTTTAGTAGGGCATATTTAATGCAGCTTGAGATGCAGTGAGGTCTGGGTAATTGTGCTGTTCTTTGTTTCAACGGGCAATTTCACTGGGTAATGGTGAGTTTCCGACCACAAAGTATCCAATCACTTGGATACTTTGAATATAGATCAAGGTTTATGCAACTTMAGTGCCTCTCCATTGGATTTGCCTCCTCAGCCTTGTTTTCTTGGTATTGCTTTCATATACTGTTAATCTMCTAAAGGAAGGAAATCAGATTCTGCCTCTGAGATGTTCCCCAGTCAGCCTGGGTGATGTGTGTTGGTCTGGAAGGCTTTGGACTGGCCAAGTATGAATGAGGTGTCTGCATCCCAGCGGGGCAGTGCAGGGCTGTCCCAGTCGGGGCTGCCCTGGAGGCAGCGTTGGCCCCACACTCACACTCAGACAGCCGTGCCGCGGCCGGGGCGAGTGTGCCGCTGTCCGTGCGGAGAGCCCGGCACCCCCGCCCCTCACTCCCGGGGCTGCCCTGGGCGGAGCGCGGAGCCGGGCCCCTCCCTCAGCCCTCCCTCCCTCCCTCCGGGCCCGGGGCGGGCGGCGGGCAGGGCCCCGCGGCTCCTCAGCCTCCGCCCGGCACGGCCCCGCCGCCCCCTCAGCCTCCGCCCGGCCCGAGCCGACCCTGCGCGCACGGGAGCCCGGCGGACGCGGTAAGTGGGCGCTGCTCCCTCAGCCGCCGGCAGCTCCGCAGGTGCCCCTCTCATGTTCCTCTGGCTCCGTCCCTTGCGCTGAGCTGCCCTCACGGTGCTCCCGCTCCGTGTCCCGCGGTTCGGGGGCTGAGGTGTCGCGGCCGGACAGCCCCTGTGGCCGGACAGCCCCTGTGGCCGGGCGGCCCTGGGCCCGGCGGCGGGTCCCTCCTGCGGGGTGAGGGGGGCTGCGGACCCTCAGCCGCTTCGCGGTGTCTGCGCTGGCTCTGTGTGTGCCCGCAGCCGCCAGCCGGGGAGAAAGGCAGCTCCCCGCAGCACCCCCGCCGCGAGCAGCTGGCCTTTATCCCCGAGCAGGTCCCTCAGGGCCGGGGAATGCAACAGTTCCACAAGTGCCCCAGTCGGTGTTTGYTCCGCGCCGCTCGGGCTGGCGCTGTCTGCCCAAGGCCATCGGGGACGGCTGGTCCGGGGTTCACACTCAGCTTGCTGACTGATACCGTTCAGCGAATGCTGTGCGATTTCTGTCGTGTTTATCTGTAGGTTCTCTGCTGCCTTTTCCCTCTAACAGCTTCACTTGGGTTTCTTTACACCTGCTCCTCTGGCCAGAGAGCCGGGGGTCCTGGAGCAGCACCGCACGGTGCGAGGGACTGGTTTGCCCTGTCCTGCATCCTTGTAGAGGACAGTCAAGAAGTGAAATGTGAGTTAGAGGGTGGAAACGTATAATTGCTCCTGCTTTGGCTGATCAGTCACCAGCTGCAAAAGGACCAAAATCACAGTGTTCACCTGCTTAACGCAGGTGRGGGAAAAGCTCAACTCTGACTCTTCTGAAACATCAGTAGGATTCACTTTCCTGTAGCTTTCAATTGCTTCTGGGAGAAAAGTAGATCGCAGAGGCAAGATCTCCCGTGAGTCTGGGGCAGGGATGTGTGTTATGTGCAGCAGTAATCCTTGAAGGCGCCCCAGGGACGGGGAGCAGGGCCGTGCCAGCGTGCCTGGCATTGCGGGCTTCCCCTGCCCTCCGAGTGTCCCGGCTSTGTGCCCACCAGCTCAGCGCTCCGGCACGCCGGCCTTTGCGATCCCGGCCTTGGCTGCGAGCTGCAATTAGCTGCGGAGCCAACGCGGTTGGTGCGTGTGCTTGAAGCGGAGGCTTGGAAATAACAGTCTTGGGCCATTCTCCACACATGTAATTACTGCAGGGTAAATTTGGGAGGTCAGAAAGGGAGCCCTGGAGAGTTAGTGGCAGGAGCTGTGATTCTGTGATGGGACTGAATGGCTCAGATGTTGGGTGTGTTTTGTGTTTTTTATAGACACACGGGTAGTAATAGCTGCCTCAGTTTCCAGGCAGAAAAAAATTTAGGCTTCTGTTGTTTTCTGACAGGAAAATGTTTCAGTGAAAATAAGGGTTTGCTGAAATTAATAGAAGTTCTAACTGTGTTACACTTATTTGAAAGCAGAGGGTAAATCCCACTTGGGTTGTTTGGGGTTTTTTTTTTTTTTTTTTTCTGTTGAAATTGCTTAGTCTTTCTGGGATAAAAGAAAATAGAAAGAAAGGTGAAAAAAGGAATGAAAGTGAAAGAAGAAAATAATGCTTATAAAAATCTGTTTAGTTTTAGATAAAACACCAAAACTAGAAGACAATAAAACTTTAATTTGTGTAGTGGTTTTGGATTTGTTGGGGTTTATTTCTACATCATTAATTTAAACAGTCTGGTTTTGATTCTAAATTGGTTTTGTCCATTTTTCATAAAATGTTTATAACTGTTATAAAACAGTTTGTAAGAGAAGTCTTTGCTTTGGGCTATTSTAATGGGTTTGGGATTTTGGTTTCATGTAACTGATGTTTTGTAATATAAAAGCATACAACAGAATGCTTCTGAGTTTGGCAAAGGATTTAGTGATTCAGCTCGTGACAGGTGTACTGGAGAAAGATTGTTCAGGTGTTACCTCAGTCACTTGAACCTGGTTTCCTTAGGATAGAATATACCCTAAGGAAAAAAAAAAGCAAGGCTGTAGACAAGGCAAATGCTCCAACAGTTTTGCTCTCAATCTCTGTTTTCTGTATCCTGTTCTCATTCACTGGTGGATAGATGTTTATTATGGGTTTGGTGTATATAGACCAGTCGCTAATTGTCACATAATTTGGTAATGTCAGGCTAATAACTTACCTGTGCAGAGAAAACTTCATAAGAGGAAAGAAATAGAACTTACTTCCTTCAACTTCTCTTAGGATTGTCACCCTTTACAGAAGAACCCTCTACAGAAGGGTTTCTGTAGATTGATGTCCTTTACACAGCACAAGCTGCACTAAAAAGGCACYTATGTACTGTAATAAGAATGTCTGTATCCGGGGATTGTACATTTAAGCATATGTTTAAATGTAGGCCTTAGATCACAGTGGGAAACTGTGATTTCTTAGGGTAAACATTGTATGGTAGGGCAGAGTTGACAAATGTGAAGAGATTAGGCAGGACATGTTTCTAGTGACTGGAAATGCCATCTCAGAGGCCTGCATTCTATTCCTGGGTTTGCTGTAGCTTCAYTACATGTCTGTAGGAATTCATTCACACAGGATAAGCAATGCCTTGCTGCCTTGTGGTGTTTGTCTGTGTAAAGGAGAGTTGGATCCAGCAGTAAAAGGTGAAGTGTTATATTCTTATACCAAACATATACTATATTATGTAGTATCATTATGGAAACACAGCAATATAAATGCTGAGTAGAAGTGGCCTTCATCTGAAAATGCTCACTGTGAGGAATCGCAGAGCAAAGAGACGAATAGAGAAGAGGTGGCCCTGATGTGGGATGGCTGAGGAATAGACATGGGATGTTTTGTGGAAGGACACAGAAGTTCATCTCTGCTCAGCTTGCCCTGGAGCAATTAAACTCTGCTCTRATTCATACTGTCATCCTCCTGGGTTTAATGAATTCTGGTACAGATCCTAAGTGATGGGAATGGCCCTGACTCATTGCATTGTGATATTGTTTAGSCACTGAAGTGTTAGCATAAGGTGTGTGTCAGGAAAAAAAAGAAAAAAAAAAAGGTGATTGTTCAACTTTGTGTTCTCAGATCCTGAATGTACAGCTTTTTTGTCTGAGTSTGAGATGAATGTCCATCTCTAATTCTGTCTGCCTTCAGTGACCACCATAAGGAAAATCACCATCTGACTAGAGAAAAATAATTAAGGCTTTCATTCCTCCTTTGATATAGTTGTGCCCTGTACTTGCAAATGGGATCCAATAAAACCCTTGTAGTGTAATATCTGAGAAGGGTAACATTCATGCTTGTGAAAGGCACTTCTATTTCAGATGAATTTTAAATGTGTGAAGGTTGTCTTTTGTGGGTTTACCCACCCTGTGCTGTGCCAATGCCAATTGTTTTGGGTCATCAAGTGTATGATCTATTTTTGGCATCTGCTAAGCGTGACTGTTGGGCCAAAGCCAGGGAGAGCTGTCTGTGGAAGGCAGGGTAGGATAACACCATGTGATAGACGTGGGAAACACCAACACATCAGAGGTACAGCTGGGGGTCTGAACACTGAGCAGCAGTTTTGTCTTCAGCCTTCAAAAGCAAGGCTATGGGCTTGAATGAGTCCTTCGTGGTGGCTTTAACTTACTGGTTTATCCTTTGCAGAAATGGRTATAGGTTAAAAGACCCGCAGAAGGGATGAGAATTTCCTGGTTATTTTTGYATGGATTCTATGCACCTGCAGCATTTGCTGTGTTCTTTGGAGGATGCTGGGAAATGAGTGTACTTGCCAGTCAAAAATTAAGTTCCTGTGTTCACAGAGGCATTTCGGGCGAGTTCCCAATTCTTAATGTTTTTAATTAGCTCTTTCTGAATGGCACTGAACTCCTTTTYAAAACAATGACTTTTTAGGTGTGTTTGCATTAATGTTGTTTATAACCATGTACCTTGGATTTTGATGAAGGGAGTAGTCGGCTTGAGGGATTTACAATCTTTGGGCAAGTCTCAGCAGCATCTCTTATCACCTGAGCATTTGACTGTACTTGACTTTTGCATGTTCAGAACTTAATTTTGCAATTTGAGGTGAGCAAAATGTTTGGGGTTTTCAGCAAGGCTTGGCTTTGTCTTTTGTTTGCTTTTTTGAAGTCTGTGAGGGCTRAACTCAACCAACACTTCAGAAAATTCTGCTTTGAACAATTGCAAGCAATATTATATAAATTTAGTAAGGAGCAAATAGCTCAGAGATGTCCTCATTCTTGTAAATGTGACTAAAGCATTTATTGACTGTAGTTTCAAGCTCTGAGCAAGTGGTCAGTGATCTTTCRTTGAGATTATGAAAGGTTGCTTGAAGAATACAGTAATTTGTTTACAAAGTGAAATTTGAGTTGCTTAATTTCACTGAGAAGAAAAATAGATGTTTTTGTCACAGGCATGAACATAGTTTTGGGAAGAAAATTATCGAGCAACAGAGTAACAGAACAATTCACYTGACCTCACCTTGAAAAACTGTGAAAATACAGACAAAGCCAGGATAGAAAGTGGGAAAAAAAACAACCCCAAAACACATTGTCATGCATCATGGTCACTAATGCAAGTGTTGGTTTCTGCAGTGTATTTTAATAGCCCAGGTGGTTATCCTGGGCTTCAGTGTCACAGCCTGTGTGGTTTCTGTCATCTGCTTTGGGTAGCTGAACAAGAGAGATCATTGCTAAAGCAGTTGCACAGAAATGCAGGAGAAGCACGTTTGTCTCCATTGCAGAGCTTTGAAGCTGGGGTTTGAGCAGGTTTATTAGTAKAAATGCAGCAGCCTCAGAGCCTTGAGCCGTCCCATGGGCAGTGCAGACCTCCAGCAAGGCTGCTCTCAAGGGCCTGAAAACCACTGTGAGGGATGCTTGCACCTCCCTCTCCTCTACCAAGACACATGCAAGTGTGTAATGAAATGGTAACTTTTGAAATGKGACAGAAATGGGTGAGTTTTGGTCATGTGCCAGGTGCACGTTAGTCATGTCGCATCACACCACGCCTGTTATCCCCAAAGGTGTGCAGACACCCTTCAGAAAGGACAGCTCCCAGTTCTGATGTATAATTGAAATACTTCTCATCTGACAAGGCTGAAGCTGTGGCTGTAAGCATTGATGTGCTAGCCCTTCTGCTTGACATAAAACAATTTTTTTCCTGATGTATAGGTTTTGCTAACGTCAGCTAAAAATATATATTTATATAGGAGCACTAAAAGACTTTCTGTTCCTTTGAAGTAATAGAAGGAGCATATTTGGAAAAGAATTGAATTGATATTCAACATGCCACCCGTGTTTTAGAAGCCAGTGGTTTGGGTGGGATAAAACAAAACAACCAGCCTTTTTTCTGAGGTGAGTGAATGACAAAAGCTGTGTGTGTTTTGAGAAATTGTTTGACTTTTRCAATGTGTTTTCTGCTTACCTGCTTTTGTTAGAGACGAATGTTCAATTTGGRTGCATTTCAGTTTGACAGGAATACTGCAACTGCTCTTTGGTACTTAGTCCTGTTTTGTAGGTCTGCTGCWCTATCAAAAACAACTGAATCTTCCAGCAACATAGAATTGAGCTTATTTCTWAAGGATCAGAACAGAGCTTTGTTTGCTTGTGAAATATGCCCTAGTCAGATGCCAATAACTGCTAATTAGAAATATGCAGGAGCTTGGAGGTCCCCTGTGTGTCTGAACCAAGCAGCACCTGGGATTCATGAAGCAAAGCACATTACAATGACAAGTACAGATATGCTCTTAACGTGTAGAGATGTGTGAGAATAACTGTATGGCTCAATGTTAGATTTTGTTGTGACACTAGAGGCCTTACAGCTATTTTACATGTTTTGATCTAAATGGGGGCTATTTGGGCCATTGGGCACAGTGCCAGTGTTCATCTCCACAGGGATCATCAAATAGGTCATAACCTGACTGGCTGGTTATTCTGTTCAAATCYGTTCTGTTACTATAACACGCATTGCTGTGGAGGTGTATCCAGAGGAATAATGTGATTTCTCATCTTCTCCTCATCCAGAAGCAGCCCAGCATAATGCACTCACAGATGCTCCAATGCACCAACGTGAGGCTTGGCTTTCCAGAGCTCACAGAGCTTATCAGCTTAAAAGATTGTGTTCAGGAAACAAATTGCACAGTYGCACAGAGTAACACCTGCAACAGATGCTGCTGTGTTCTCATTTGAAACATCTACAGTGTGTGATGGAAGATGTGCTCAAAGCTCTGGAGATGGAATCTCCTTTTTCCAGCAGCAGTTCAGATGTCAGGGTGCTGTCCTGCCTGTGTGCCTCAGTAGCACTGCTTGACCCCAGAAAAAGGAAGCTCTGCCTTGTGGTCTCCCTGGCTTGGGATCTGTCTGCTGACACTCTATTGAGGGAGTCTGTGATGCCAGTTSTCATGCTGGCTTTCTTTAGTGTTGTGTGGAGACTTCATTGTCCAGAACTTTGTCAAATTATTAAGTGTTTTCTTTTTGTTGCATTTGTGTTTCATGGTATGTTCTGAGCTTCTGGTTTAGTATGTGCTTTGGTACATCAGTGAGGGCCAAGAATCCCCTTCACTTAAAGGTGCTCATCTCTTTCCAGATTTGAACCCTCACTATTTGGCCGAGACTGAATTAGTTACTTTGATTGGTCAGTTGTAACTTCGGCCATGAATGAGTTGCAATAGTGCCTATAGCACAAATGTGTGTTGCTGACACYTTGCCTCTTGGAAGATGGTAATGAATGTCTTTCTTCATTAATATTTTAGTTGGATCATCCTTGAGCATCAATGAAAGACCAAGTATGGCSTTCTTCAAGCAACAGAAGGTGGAGGACGTTTATGAAATTGGAGAAGAGCTAGGAAGGTAAGCTTGTAGTGATGGCAGCACAGGATTATAAAGCTGATGCATGGGGATATTTGCCATTTGTTTCATGTTTGATAGCCCAAGTCAGTTACAATATACAACAATAGCAACACACCTTGACAAAGACTGCACTTYGGGTTTTTGGTTGGKTTTTTTTTARATTAAATATGCTAACTATTTTTCCTGTTTCTTTTCTTGCRACTAGGACAACAAAAGGTATGTTTACACTGTGTTTTGTAGATAGGTGTGACCTGTGTCCGTGCTTTAGACATGAGTTCACCTGCCTATTCTGGGAGCCATCTGGGAAACAGGAACCYATGGTGCTGTCACCAGAGACACAGCCTGTGTCTTTCACTTGTCCTGTTGTTTTGAGCAGCACTCCACAGCACTGTTGTTTCTAGCTGGCTCTGACAGCTGGAAGCACTGACATCACGTGTTCATATGTACCTGCAAAAAAAAAAAGGTGCATGTATTCCTGAAAGGTTTTGCCTCTCAAATCTTTAGCTGGATGGCTTAATGCCTGTATATAGCTTTTAATATATAAAGGCTTATCTGCAGGTATTAATTATAGGTGTAATTACCAACTGTTACCATGCTTAACCATGAGCACCTGCTTAAACATTGCTKGTTTTGTGAGCTGCATGACACCGGGCTCGCCCAGTCACTGAGCAACGTATAATGCTCTGGGTGAGGATGGCTGGTTTCCATTCAGTGTACAACTCTTTAATGTTTYTAATATTCAAATAGCTAAATTAGGGCTATACAGATGTTGGCTTCTTTCCCAATGCCTGGCAGTTGGTTTTGATAAACGACTGTGTATGTGCTGTCACCCTTTTTCAAGGGCCAATAATTCAGTTCCATTAAAACACTTCAGTTGAAGCTGTGTCCCTGCCAAATCTTATTTTTTCACTCTCAGCTATTTTATGTTTAGGGTTATTGAGAGTGCTTCTTTTAAGGGGAGATGAGTTGAGGTTTGTTTGTTTGTTTTCCATTCCCTTCTCTCTTAGGAAGGCCTATAACTGYTTACTTTTTAAGTATTGACTAGTACTGAGGGTATCAGTCTGACAGTAAAAACATGACAACAGTGAGCAGTAAAGAAACACAGTGTGCATATGCAGAGTGCAAAAGGTGTGGTTTTCAACCAGGAGGGCCTAGAATGTGCTGGAACAGTCAAACTGCTAAAATGAAAAACTGGAGACTGAGTAGTTTGTTTTTACTTTGGTTTCTGAAGTGGTTTTGGGAATCTTTTGAGATGACAAACATCACTCTCCAAGCTGGTGGATATTGAGGGTGTTGAACTGAGAAGTGTAGCTAAAACAATGTGTCAAAGGCTGGCCATTGCTGCTTGWGATCAGCCTGAGGGGCTGGTCAAGGTTTGAGGGTCTCAGAAGCCCTTCTCTTCTGCCTGCATGTATAATGTCACACTGTGTCAGTGAATTTTCACTTTCAGATTTAGTGTGTTAAGTGTACAGTGTCAGCTGGGTCGTCATGCCTCAATATCTCTGAGCAGTAACTACTGATAAGGGCCAGTGACAAATGAAATCTCGCTTCGCTGGAAGGAAGTTCACATGCTGGACAGATTGCAGTGACTGATCTTTCCCAACGCTGACTGATGCCCTTAGAACCTGTAGGTGYCTTTTATTGGTTCACTGTGTTTGCAACAAGCWGTTWGCTGCTGACAGGTAGATGCAGGTAWAAGGATTCATTTATTATCATTCTGGTGGCAGAAGTCACTCACAAAACAAATGTTTTCAAACAACATCTGTGAAGAGTCTGTGCTGTTCTTGTCCTCCTCGCGGAGTTTGTCACTTCTTGAGAACAAAAGYAGTTGTTATGTAGGCCTGGTGCTTGTTCTGGCTGGGATTGAGCCATGAGATGAAATAGAGGATCTCACTGGCAGACACAGCACCTCTTTATCTGAAAGTCTTTGCACAGCTCTCAGGAAAGGATGCTCCCTGCACAGGTTGCAAAGGCTCAGCTCTCTCTGGTCTGGTGATGAAAGGAGCCACTTCCTGTCATTGTGCAGCATTGAGGGTGACCACAGCAAAGCTCCTCAGCTCTAGCTGAGTAAAGCCCTGCAAAGGGGGTGTCTGGAGACTCCCCAGAAGGATCATCCTCAGAATCCCTGCTGAGCTGGAAGCAGCTTGGAGGGTGCTTTCAGTGCTGTTGTCTCATGTGCCAAGGCAGGAGTGTGAAAGAAGGTGTTTGGCAGAGAGRGGAGCAGGTTTGCCATGGCTGCAGCTGTGTGCTCTGCTTAGCTMCAACATTCCCTCAGTCTTTCAAATATTAATCTTGGGTTTACACCTCTGTTGCTCAGCTTCTCCAAAGGGTACATGCAGGGAGCAATCTGTCAGGCATGTGGCATTAGAGACAACTTGCTGATGGCCTTGTTCATTATAGCAGCCTGTATTTGACAAGGCCTGTGCTGGTTGTGTGCAATTCTTCAAATATACATGAATAACCATGTTACTTCCCACAAGATACTATCAGCTGCTTTGCTAGTCTGTGGGGACTGAGGTTCTCTAGACATAGCTGAAAGGAAGCTTAAAAAGAGGAGTCTCTGAAGTGAATTTAGCAAATTTCAGCATTATAAACAAATAATACAGCTTAAATCACTTAGCCTGTTTTGAGGAGGATCCTGGCCTAAGCCTTTTGGCCAAGGATGTTAATGACATGCCAGATCAGTGAAAATGCTCCTTGAAAATGTGAAGAAGTGAGGACTAACTTGTCTTCTTGGTAATAAGCTCAGGTCAAATAACTGCTGCTTCTTGCGGCTAGGGAGGTGAAAGCTGGAGACAACCAAGAATGGAAACTCTTAAGGKCAAAGTGGGCCCAGAGAAAAAACTGCCCTGCTGAGTTGGGGTTATAGCTTTCAGGAAAGTGGCAGCAGTAAATCTCACTAGAAAATTTCAGTTGTGTTTTGGATCTGTAGTTGTGGCTCACTGAAATAAAGGTGTTCTTGAACAAATGTGCAGGAGCCTTTCCCAGCTGTACTRGCAAACACTGTGGTGGTGGCTGGTGCTGGAATTTGAGATGTGCAGTGTGATTTATAAAAGAATGTAYCATAGAGTCATTAATCTATTACCTAAATGTGGTGTGAGCCAGGCTATGAGAGCTGTTGACATTTGTGCCCTCTGGGCAGTGTTACTGTTACATGTCAAGTTGGGGCTGAGGGTAGGAAGTGTCATAGAGCTTTTCCCAAAGTGTTTTGTGACAGTGCCCGTTGAGAMAGTGTGTTCCTGCAGAGTGGTGTGGGCCTGGCACTGCAATGTCCTGGGACAGTGTCCTGCTCCTGCAGCTCATCTCTGCACCGTGAAAGGACTCACACTCAGCAGAAAAAACCAGACAAAACCTGGAGTGATACTTCTGGCCCTGGAAGTCTCCCTCTTTCCTTCRCTGGTGTTGTTTCACAGTAGGGAAGGGGCTCTGCCTTCCTCTGCAGTTGGGTCAGCCTAACCACCTGCCACTCCAGTTTCTTGCCTGTCTCAGGAACTRGGAGCTTTGCTCATCTCTCMTCTCCTGGGCCAGTCAGTGCCTTCATGCACAAAAATCATCACAGTGGTTTCTGTTGATTGGTTTGGGCATAATGGAGCTTCCAGTTTCTCAGCCCCTGCTGACCTGGGYTGTGGTTTCATGGTTAAAGCCAAGCTCCATCTTTTATCAGTGCTTGTTGTGTAGTTCCCCATCTCCAGCTGCAAGTTCCTGCTTCCTTCCTGCTTGTGTGTGGAGGATCAGCTCTGCTTTCTGAGACAGGAGAAACCCTGTTTTCTGGGTGGAGCTTTAAAGGACAGCAAATGCACCATTTCACTGGTGCTAATGGGACCTTGGAGCCTGGCACAAGTCGCTGTTCTGATGGTGTAACTATTAAATATTTATTTATGTAGTGAAAACAAAAAGCAGAGATAACCCAGGTATTCTTTGTAGGGCAGAAACTTAGAAATCAATGATAAAAAGGTAATGTCACCCAGCTAGCTGGACTCTCCCTGCTAAACAGAGGGGTGTGATTGCAGCAGGGAAATTTACCCTTAACTCACACCATGCAGTATCTTCATACCAGGAATATTTTTTTCTAACTATAGAAATTGCTCAGCACTGCACTTTCTCAGACATGAACTTTAACTCTSTTCTTAGATTAGTTTGTACTTTGAATTAATTCTTTGAATTTTGAAGAATAACTTTGGATAATTTTATCCTACAGCACACACACAAAACAGGTCTTCRTGTTTGATGCAAAATGTAGATTTAATTCCTGAGCATTATCCAGCACTTCTGTTAATTTTTCTTGTTACAACTCTTCTAAGTCATGTTTCATGTGTGTGAATCTTCTGCTGAAAGAGTTTTGGCATCCGGTACTTGGTCACAATTACTGTGATTGCTGTCAGCTGTCTGATACTGCACTAATTTTGAATTTTTTCTTTGTAGTCCTTCTGGCGGATTTCTCTACTAGTTTTCAGTGTTACTTTAACTATTCCAAAATATTTTGATTGGTTACAGAAAGTCCAGAGAAAATGGAAGGTTTTGTTGTTTGTTTTTTTTTCTAATAACAAAGTTGCTCTGCCTACAATAACTTAGAAGAACTGGCCTTGGCCTTTGTAACAAAGGCATGCATTCCTCATCATCAGCATCCATCTTGATGATGGACATGATCTCAGTGTATCTCCTCAGTCCATGTCTGGCTTTGAAAGTATAATTAGAGGTGAGTGACCTCTGTCACAGAGCTCACAAAAGCTCAAATTTTGTGATGTCTTTCACCACTGAATATTAAGCAGTATATTAATCCCAGGAAAAAGACAATTGAATATGAATACCAGTCTTTGTTTGCCATTTCTGTAAAAATAAAACAATTTTTTCCATTTTGCRTTGCAGTAGAAAGCAGATGGAAATTTCAGCAGCTGATAAAATATACTCTGTGTAGTATTCATTCCATACTTTTGAAATATATTACTTATCAGTAAAAATGCACATGAAATAAACAGTGCAGCTCAAATTCTGACAATGAT